TTCGTCGTCACGTTGCTGCTTGATGACTGGTCTGCTGGTGCCACGTGGCACTATTGGTCTACATTGTCTTGGATATCCGGATCTCTGATTGAGACACGATTATGCGGTTAGGAGGAGGAAGTGCCCGAAGAGGAAGTGGGCTGTAGGGAGGAGACTCTTCCACCCTCTCAAAGTCTATTCTCCCTCCTCCCTCTCTCGTCTGTGTATGCATTCTCTCTCATTTTGGGATCATTATTATTATGATTTATCAGCAGCGTTCGTCTATTTTGTCTTCGCGAGTGACGACTGATTATCACGACTGGGCACATTGCAGTTTGGTATCGGAGCATTCACTTCCGACCGGACACTGGACAGTCCGGACCGGTCCCCGGGGTGCAAAAATGTCTGGACCCAAAAACAAAGAAAAAAAAACAGGGGTGGGGAGGGGGCTTGGGTGGGGGTGTTGGCAGGCACTTACCTGCTTTGCACTCTGTAGTTCAGGCAGCAGAGCACGTGTCTTGCAGCAAATCAACCAGCACATTTAACTAGCAGACATCTAGAGTTGCAACAGTGCAAAGCAGGCACAAGACTAAAGAAACAGAGAATTTTGTTTTGAAAAAAGTATGATTAACTTTGAACTTTGAACTTTGGATTTAGTAATTTAAGTTCATAACTTCATATGTCCGGAACACCGGACAGTCCGGACCGGTCCAGACACTGGTCCGGAAGACAGTCCGGAAATGTCCGGTGTCCGGGTCCGGGGTTACCATGGTTTGTAGGGTTTGCAAAAACCTCCAACCCCATAACTTTTTTCCCGAATTTGACTTGATTTACAGTTTTTTTTTATTAAAAAACGAAAATCGAAGAAAAGAAAAATAAATAAAAGAAAAGCAGGATTTTTTTTTTTTTTCATGACTGATATGGAGTAAGAGTCCTAAAAAGAAAAGCAGGTTTTTTGTTTTTCTTTTTTTCCCGGTTATAAATCATTTTTGAAAAAAAAAAAAAAAAAAAAAAGAGTCCTAAAAAGAAAAGCAGGTTTTTTGTTTTTCTTTTTTTCTTCTTCTTCTTTGCTGGCTTTTTATTCCTTCTTCTTCTTCTTCTTCTTCTACTTCTTCTTCTTCTTCGTCTTGGTCTTTGTTGTTTTTATTTCTTTCTTAGGGCTGGACCCCACAGGCCAAAATCTTGGAAAACGGGCGACGCGAGTGCTTTTCCCGGACCCCACTGGAAGAAATCGGGTTCCTGGAAAGTGTTTTTTTTGTTGCGTTTTTCGCTTCCCGGGACGCCACAGTCTGGAAAAGTGTTCCTGGAAGATGGCACTTTGATGTTTCCACATGTGGTTTTGGTCCGAAATGTGTCATTTTCGGTAGTTGACGGCACTATTTTGTGGCAAACGGACTGGGTAGGGGGGGGGGGCTGGAAAAGTCTGGAAACTTCCTTGCACGACCCGGGTCCATGGAGTGTCCGGTAGGTGGCATAGTGGGTGCCCATACCACCCCAACGGCCACACGCCGCCACCCACACCTCCCGAGTCGGACATCGTGGACGCCCATACCACCCCAACGGACTTCGATGGTCCACAATGACGGCACGAGCTTGGAAAAGTCTGGAAGAAATTGCTTTTCCAGGCCTTTTCCCGCCTCTTTGGTGGGGTCCCGTCGTTTCATCCGCGGAATCTTCCAAGTGCCCTTTCCACAATTTCCAAAATAACGC